AAGAATTATTTTCTCTATTCTCAACAGGTGTTGATCTCTTTTCTTTTCATGTACAAGATGGCATCACTCACATCCTCGTATTCAAAAATGGCAAAGCTGGTAATGATTTTTTCAGAAATCGAATGAGCAGAGCCTTTTATTTTTCTGCGCTCTTAACAAGATACCATGCTTAAAACATGCTTCCTCCCAGAAGAGGTGATTTTCTGCTTTTAAGATCCTATTTCCTTACAGAAGGCTTTGTTTTTGCTAATGGGCTGTACTACATACAATTATCTAGAAGTACTCTAAATACATTAAATACCCAAAGCCTGTCCCAAGATTAAAACAACAACATCAAGCGGAGAACATAGTACTTAATTCAAAACAGTTTAACAATTATGAGATTCTTCAAGTTGGAAAACAAAACATTGGTGGATCCTTTGCTATAAATAGAAAAAAAAATCCAGCAGATGGAATTTCACTCCTTATAAAGTGGGCTCTTTGCAGGGTGCATTTAGATGGTTGTCACTGGATCCATTTTCTCAGAGTCAATTAAAAACTGTCCCTAACATAGCCCATAATTACGCATCCTGGATTATATCCAGTTAAGTGAAAAATCATGATATTATCGAGACAATTTACGATATTTTTAGAATCCTCCCATCATTGTCATATTGTCTGTCATTGAAAATAAGAGCTGGTAAAAGGCACTTGAACTATTGGTGGAGTGGAGAAAAACCCAGGAGCAACTTGGCAATGCCAGCTGATTCCTCTTTATACAGACAGTGGCGAGATCCACTCCTCCCCCTCCCCAGAGAAGAATGGTAAAGGAGGTTGTTGTCAGAGGAGATTAGGAAGAATTGAGAGGTTGTAGAACATCGGAATCACTGTCTAGCAAGAGACTGTGGCTATTTAAAATCAGGGCCAATCTTCATCTTCATCTATCTCCAGAGGCTCAGTTGTGAAGGGAGAACCATTAAATCACCTCTTGCAGCCTGATTAGTCTGTAGTGTGCATTGGGAACCTTAGTGAAAGCCCAGGAAACAGCCAGAGAGAAATTGCAAGTTGGACTGACAGCACAATCCACCTGCTGCATCCAAGAAGCAACTACCAAAATTTGCTTAGCTGTTCTCACCACAAAACAAAGCAAAACTTAAAGAGAGTAACTAGGTGAGGTGAAAGATGTGTTAACTAGCTGGACTGGAATTTCTTAAAAGCTTGGTATGTCACATCGTCACCTTGAAACCATCGGATTTTATTCATTGACTATGCATCAATAAAGCTGTAAATTAAAACGAAAAAGAAGCAACTGTTGTGAGTCTTTAACAAAAGAACCTGTTGAGGACATGACAGAAAATATTTTTATGTTAGCCTCCTTCCTACATAACTCTTTACCTCTATCTTTATTTTCTTATTCTGTACCACCTACTCCTAAGTTATAATGTCTCTCTGTATTTAATCTATTTTTATAATTCACTTTAAAGCCTTCCTAGTACAAAAGGTGTTGAACTGAATAAAAAAAAATCTTAATTGACATTTTAAGGTGTTTTTTTTTAACAAACCAGGAATTATGCCAAGCACAGAGGCTGTAGCGATGGTAAAGCTTCACAGTGGAGGAGTGGACACACACAGGCATGGAGCTGTGAGACAGAAAGCAGGGGAATGTAGTCCTGGGGCCTCAGAGCAGAAGTGGGGAAGGACACAGGAGAGATGATATCAAGGCTGGTTGGGGCCAAAGGACAAATCCTGCTTGCAGGTATGAATAAGTGAATATTTAAGTCCCAGGACTCACATCCAGGTGTTTCTAAAAAGTTGTACTATGTAGTCTACCAGTGTTCAGAGAAGAGGAGGAGAGTGTGATCTTCAGGAAGAGCTGAGGCTGCCCCTCTTATTCCTCGCAAATACCACTATTCCATCGCCGTAGTTAGTAACAAAAGACCTCTTGCACTAATGTTTCCTTCTGTGCCTTTGTTCTCACCATACACACAGTGACCACTGGTGTAATTTGACAGTTGCAAGAGATTTGCTCAGTTTCCAGGGAATTCTGGTAAAAATGCAATAGCAGAGTGGATGTTTTCATCAAAAGAGAAACACTCAATAATTTTTGAAGCCCCAATTGAAACCAGATGGGTAAAAAGCATTCTGTCGGCCTCTTCAACACTAATACAAAAATAGCCTACTCTAGGCCAGGGATTTAGCTTAGTGGTTCTGCCACCTGCCTCGCAAGCTCAAGGACCCAAGTTCGATCCCTGGTACCAGAAAAAAAAAAAAAGAAAGAAAGAAAAAAAAATATATATATCCTACTCAATCACAGACCTTACAAATAAAGGGGCCCCCTTCTTGAGAGCCAGTAATCTCAGTTTTATAAGGAAACCTGGAGGGCCGTGACCCGAGGTAGCTTGTAGGGTCTGTGCAGAATGAGCAGAGTGTGAGGACTCTGGGGTGATGGGAAGGGGCATTTGACCAGTGGCTTGGCCTAGCTGATGCTCCACTCCCTGTGTTTTAATCAGACTTTTTCTCCAAAGCAAGACCAGTGGTATTTTATGTTTCTGCTTGTTGATCTTGTATTATACTAAGAATATGATTTGAACTGACTTTTTATTTTTATTTATTTGTTTAATTGAGTTTACTGGTACATTTTAAGTATACAGTACAGTTACATTCATCATTGGGACCTTGTACCTTTACATGACAGGTCTTGGTTTTCATTTTTTCCCCTTACCCCTGCCCTCCCTTCACCCCCTCCTCCCCTCCCCATTTACAAACACTTTGTTTCCATTTTTTCATTTTCTCATATTTTTTCTTTTCCCTTATTACCTTTCCCCTACCCCCCCCACTTTCCCTACACCTTTAGCCCTTTTCTTCCAATTTCACATTGTTAGTTATATCATTAGGATCTTATGTACTATTATAGTTTTTCACACCAGAGAAACTAGTTGGTATTTATACATGTGACTTATTTATTTCACTTAGGAGTATATCCTCAATATGCATCCATTTTCCTATGAATGAATCTATTTTCTCATTCCTTATGGCTGAGTAGTATTCCATTTTATAGAAAAAATCACATCTTTATCCAGTTTCCAACTGATTGCACTGACTTTTTAAATTCTTACAACTCACTCCTGGATAAAGAACCCAGTTTAATAAAGACCCATTTATCCAGAGAGATGTAACTTGGAGCTGAAGTTTGCTGCAACAGTTTTGATCATGGTTTGGTATATACTTTATTTCATTTAATTCCCAAGTTTTCCATCCCCACAGTACTTTAGAGTGTTACTAATCTGTCAAAAGTATATGTCACTGAGAAATTTTATGTCATAGTAGCAGCCTTTCTATATTGGGAATTTTGCAAGAGTTTCTGGGGACAGAGCCCTAGAGGAGTGTCTGTCTTGAGACCACCCCTGAACTGCCCAGAAGAGCCATGGTGCTGGGAGATGGATGGGTATGGGATCCAAGCTCTGCTGGGCTCAGGTACATGGCTTGTCTTCCTGGCACAAGAACTTAGTGTAGTGAAAAGCATTTTTTAGTATAGCATGTAGCCCTGATAGCATGATGAGATGCTTTCCAAGTCTGGCTTTGCTTCTCATAGTAATTTTATGGTTATCACCAGTAGGGCCAGAGGAATTCCTAACAAGAGACAAAACAATGAATGTGAAAGCCTCCATCTGGCCATTAAAGACCAAGACTCAGAGGTCAGCCTGTGCTTTATTACCTTAATGGACTTTTTACAAGTGCTCCGGCCTTGGAAAAAGTGTAGGCCTAAATCACTGCTAAGTAGACTTATATTATTTAAAGTGTAGATGGTTGCTGGGGCTAGTCTTTATGGCAGGTAAACAAAAAGTCGGTGACTTCTATTTGATTGATGTGTGTAATAAGCTACAGCATAGTCCCTGAACTCTAAATAGCATGATTTAACACTTTTTTAGGACTTTGTTTTTCTTTCCTTGAAAACAAAAATATGCTGGGTACCAGTTGCTTGGGAAACTGAGCAAAGATGATGGCATGTTTAAGGCTTGCCTGGGCAGCTTAGCAAGACCCTATTTTAAACTAATTTTTAAAAAGTTCTAAACATGTAGCTCAGTGGTACAGCATTTTCCTAGCATGTGTGAGGCCCTGGGCTCAGTCCCCAGTACTGATTTCGAGAGAGACAGAGAGGGAGAGAACAAAAGATACTATTATTTATAGAAGAGCATGTACTTTCATAGCCAGAAATCCAAGCAATGTACATTTAGATTCCAATTTTAATATTCTTCAATGAGGCCAGAATCTGCCCTTCTTTCCATGTTTCTAAAGTTACACACACCCAGAACAAGGTATTGAGCTGCATTAGCTCAGCTCATCATTGAGTACTCAATGTTGTAAACATTTTTTTTAAAACATGCGTTTTGTTCATCAACTTCAGTCTTTTCTATAATAATATAGGCTGTGTGGGAGGCAATCCTCCGAGGTTGGGTTTTATTGAAAACTCCAGTGTTCAAAGATGATTACTGGGATGTTTGAATCCTTAATAGAAATATCAGGCATCCCAGAGCTATAAAGAGAAGAGTTCCTAACTGGAGCGGGAAAGGCTGCCTCACCCAGCAGGGCCCATCTTGAATTCCAGCTGTGTGTAGGAAATGATCCATAGAATACTCAGTGAAGATAATCATTTACCCCAGAAAGGGTAAAATGTGATTGGATTGAATTGATGTTGAAGAGCTCAGGAGACAGCACTTTGGTTGGGGCAGCCATATCTTCAGGGCCATTCTGCACACATCCCAGTCTTTCCAGAATCCAGTAGGCTCAAGTGAGCAGAAGAGGCTGAGACTGCAACAGAACATGCAAATATGGGTGCTTTGGTATGTTTATGTCCTTCTTACTGTTGTCCAGAGTTGGGGTCTTTTTGTCTAGGAGCGTGCTGGGTGTTGTGTTTCGAATCTCCCAGTTTATTTCCCTCAACACATTTTAAACTTCATGTGAGGACAGGGACAGAGTTGCCAGCACACCTGACGCTGTTCACTATCTATTTGTCCCCACAGAATCTGTACCAGAACAGGTTTTTAGGCCTGGCTGCCATGGCGTCTCCATCTCGAAACTCCCAGAGCCGGCGCCGGTGCAAGGAGCCACTTCGCTACAGCTACAACCCTGACCAGTTCCACAACATGGACATCAGGGGCATCCCCCACGATGGAGTCACCATACCCCGCTCCACCAGCGACACCGACCTGGTCACCTCAGATAGCCGCTCCACACTCATGGTCAGCAGCTCCTACTATTCCATAGGGCACTCTCAGGACCTGGTGATCCACTGGGACATCAAGGAAGAGGTGGATGCAGGGGACTGGATTGGCATGTACCTCATAGGTGAGTAGCTTGTCCCCTCCAGCCTTGCTCATGGCGCCACTGACTTAATTAACCAGGGCAATTGACAGCATGCTGCAGAAACAGTGGTCTCATGCACGGGTTTGGGCATTCAATAGGTGTAGTACTCATAATTCATTTCAACATACACTTGAACATATTTCTGAACTCTACCGTAATTAAATGCACAACGAACTGAGTTATAACATACTGAATACCACCCGTCCTTTGCTTTGTTTTTCTGCAATCCAAACCATCAGGCTTATCTTACCATCTCTCCTGGGTGGAAGAGAATCATGAGATAGCAGAACGGGGTATGGTTAAACCCAAATGCCACAACATTTGCAGTTAAAGAAGCTCTTCTACTTAGGAACAAGTGAATATCAAAAGCCTTTTTCTAAATCCATGTGTTTAAGACTGAAGTAATACTGTATTCCCAACCAGTGTGCTGGTAACTTCACTGTTTCCAATATAATCATTTCATCCAGTTCTTACTGCTTTGTTTTTAAAAGACATGATGGGTTTGTAGAGTCATCAGCCTGGAGAAAACTGACTTGTTCTACCTGAGATAGAGCTTTATTCAAAATTAGGAAAGTTTCCAAATTGAAAGTTCACTAGGGGAGATTTTTCTATGTGAATTTTCTCAAATCTGTCCAAACAAGTCAAATTATGCAAATAAAGTAGGTGCTGCTTCAACTACTTTATAAAAGTTTCACCGTTCTCACTGATTGGTTTTAAAAATAAATCTTACAAGTTTAAACTATGAAAAATGCATTTCCTGTATTTTACATGGCAGGATCAAGTGTAGCAGAAATTGAGACGGTATTACACAATCCAAGGTGTGGTTTGGGGGGCTCCCAAGAGTCAGTAGATCCAACACCAGGTCCAAGAGAGGCCAAGAATAGTGCCTTCAGTGTATCATCTACACACCACAACACATGACACCAGAGTTAGCATCTCTGAGCATCACAGGGAGGAATTCACTGTTATGTGTGGCCTTACAGCCTGGCCACTTTTCTGATAGATTAAAAGGAATCTCATCCAATGTTCAGGAAAACATTTTTGGCTCTCTTGAAATTTCTGCCATTAGCTTGGTTAATATGTTTACAGAACATACACAATTGAAGAAGAAGAAGAAGCATAACTTTTGAAAATTTTACACAAATAGTACTTAGTAGATAAACTGGACTTTGAAAAAGTGAAATGTCATTTTTTAAAAAATTAGTTCTTGAATAAAAGTAAATATTTCAATCTAGGAAAAGAGACAAGATAACAGGCTCCCAAGCATATTTTGTTCAATCCAGATGGTTTTGTTTTAAGTTTAATTGTCAACATTTAAAAAGGTAGAGACTTCACGTTAAAGGCCATCTTTCTAGTGTCCTCCAAAGAGGCCCCTAACTTGTCAAACTCAGCCTGAAATACCACAGGGTTGCAATTAGCTGCCTTTAGTTTGCCACAATCATCCTCCTATCCACCCTCTCTTTATTCAAGGATGTGACTTGTTTAGCACCTTAGGTTTTTTCCTTTACACACAGAGACTTTATTTTGAATCCAATCTTCACAGGGGTAACCTCCTGCAGGTGGTGAGTGTCGGTGCCATTCTTTGAGTTAGGAACAATGGGAAGGAGCATGTTGGGGGAGAAGGGGAGGAATTTAGCGGGCACTTACAGGGTGTGAAGTGCCTGAAGGACCGCACCCAAACCGATGGATGGGTCTGAGCTCATTCCTAGATCCTGGCTGGAGATGCAGATCTGGGGTGACTGGCACTGTTAGTTACTTGTGGATTGGGAGTAGAAAGAACACTAGAAGGTCCCCCTCAAAGAGAGAGGCAGAGGAAATGCTCAAAAAGAAGATGGAACAGGTGGTGAAGTGGAAGGACATTAGGAGCTCACACCACTGAGAACTAGAGAGGTGGGTGTCGGAAGCAGGAAGGGCTATCGGCCCTTTTGTCAAGTATTGCGAAACCCCTTGAACGACTAAAATCTAACATGATGTTTGGGCTGAGCCAGAAGTAACCACAAGTCATCATTTTCAGTCTTACCCTGACAGGTTGTTATTCTCATAGTAGCTGCACATATATAACTGTGAAGTTATTTAATGCAAAATGCCAACACTTTCAGTGGCGTAATATTTTACAGTTTTCCAATCCAAAATTATCTGAGAATCTTCATGTTCATAATTTGCAAGTCCTTAGTAACTTCTCTTGCAGATTGGCAGAACCTTTCGAAACCTCAAGCCATAGATCTAGACCTAGACATTTAGAGATGCTAAATCTAATCTGTCGTCTAATCTGTCATTTCCAAATGAGGAGGTGCCAATTCAGTGGCTCCCATGGCTACTCAGCTGCCACCCTTGGCAGCAGAACCCATGCTGGCCATGGACATGTTGGCGCTCTGGTACGGCCTCAGGTGTAGGCCATTCCACATCACTGGGCCATGGGAACATCATCCGTGTGAGGCCAAGTGTGTGATGCCTTCAGCGTCATCTGACCTCTGCAGCTCTCCAGGCAAACATGCAAACGTGATTCTCTTTGCCATAGGTGGGTGAAGATACCTGGATACAAAGGGGGATCGATAGCACCTTCCCAAGTCACCAGTGCTCCCATTACAGTAGGAACCCAGCAACAGGACAGTAACAGAGGCATGAATGTCATTGGTTACCCTCATTTACAGAGTGGCTCGTGATGAGCTAGATGAGAGCAATACATGATTCTCTCCTGGTGGCACAGAATGGGGAAAGATCTGTGGTTTCAGGGACAGGTAGACCTGGTTTAGAGTCATGCTCTGCTTTGGGCCAGGTGTATGATTTTTTTCCCCCAGGTGTATGATTTCAGCCAGGCACTTTCTTCTAAGCTTCAGGCTCCTTATCTCCAAAATTGAGGGGGAAAAACATAATTTGCTTCTCAGGGTCAGTGACAGAAAGCGATAAGACGCTGCACATTTACTGCCTGCCAATCAATACTGTATATCATGTTTTGATTTATCTTGTCGAGAAGCTTTATTCCCTGAATGCATGATGGCAGATCACCCTAACTGCCACACTTCATTCAGCCCTGCCTTGACCCATAGATGAATATGCAGTTATTTTCATTGTGCTTTATAGACAAAGGTTCCTGACCAAACCAAGTGGGGACAGGATAATGACTTTTTAAATGTTAGAATGTCAGTGAATGTCCAGAAGCTTATCTTTGGTCAAACACATAGGACATGGAGGCAAATTTCTTAGAAATCAGTACTTCCAGCAAGTAGCTTTGCATTTATTCATTCAGTAGTGCCTATTTGACTTTGTCAAATAAAATCAGTCCTGTAGTATCTAGGGTTAATGAAGGATTCAACCGTACCCTTGGCTTACACTAAGGGAGCATTATTGTATAATTGGGTTAGGATCCATAATTTGATGGGTACAATTGAAATCTGTAATCATTAGAATGCTATATTAATGAAGATAAATTACTGTATATAAATATTTTACCTCTTCATTTAACATTTTGATGTTTTAAAAAATATAATCTTTTAAAATTCTCTTTGAGAATTATGAGTTTTTAAAAATAGCTATTCCTTTGACTTCTGGGGAAGCAATCCCTATTAAAACTGCTTAAATATGAATTAAATGTGCTATTAAAATCACAAGAATACAACTGAGTAGGAAAAGTAGGCATACTACACTCCTAATTTGGAAAGTTTTGGCTTATCAAATTACAGTTTGAATAAATCACATTCTTGCCATATTATCTCAATTCCATGCTAGAAGTTGGCCTGTAACTTAAAACATAATGAAACTAGACTACAGTGATTCATTCAAAGTTCTGTATAACAAGAGATGATAACTCAGGGAAAAATTAAAATAAAAAATTACCCTGAAATTACACTGTTGAAGTGTACCTATTCATTGGCCTGGGGATGTATATTCTCTTCCTTACCTTCTGTGCCGCTCCACATGTGTGATGTTAGCAACAGATTCTTTGGATTTTTTTTTTTTTTTAGTTTGTTTCTATGATCTGTCTGTTCACTTGTATATGGTATTGTGTTAACTAAAACTCATACGTACTGAAACTGTGTCCTTCCTTCCCAAGTTCATAGCAACTGAGGTAGCAGTGATGCGAGTTAAAGCAGAACCTGTAGAGATAGGATGTGTACAGGTTTTGGTTAACATAGCACTGCTCAAATCAAGGATTGCTCCTCACTCTTAATCTCTCAGTCCCCCCCCCCCCTCTCTCTCTCTCTCTCTCTCTCTCTTTCTGCCTCTTCCTTCCTCCATCTTTCTCTCTTCCTCTCACCCTCATGTATGCAGCTATAGATAGATAGATACAGATATAGATCAATCTTACTCATTTTATTTGGAGCTCAGACTTCACACATACTAGGAAAGCATTCTACCTTAACTAAGCTACAAACTCTAGTCCGCATATTACCCACATGTTACATATTGTGACGCATTTTCATCATTTGTTTTGCATCTTTGAATGGAGTGTATTAAAATGTCTAGCCAAACACTCTTAATTAATCTTTATCTACTGTGTCTGTCTGTTTTCTGATGCTAATAATGCCATACCAAAGCCTGGGAAAGTTATAAAGAAAAGAGGCTTATTTTGACTCCTGGTTCTGGTCCAAGGCCGAGGAGTCTAATCTGGTGGAAATCTGAGGCAGCACAGGGCATCACATGGAGATATACAGGAAGTGAACAGGCATGTGCCAGCATTTATGGTGTGTGTGTGTGTGTGTGTGTGTGTGTTTGTGTGTGTGCGCGCGCGCATGTGTGGCAGCTTTCCCTTATGGATGAAAGTACCAGAGATAGCCAATTTATAAAGAGAGAGGATTTATTCTGACTCATGGTTTCAGAGATTTCAGTCTATGGCCCATTAGCCCTGTTCCTTTTGGGTCTGTGGTAGGGAAGTACACATGGCAGGAAACAGTACATAAAGGAACAAAACTGTCTTACTTTCTCCTCACTGGGACACAATATGCCACACTCAGATGCCCACAATTTAGCTCATGGTTTGTCGA